ACATGTCATATCAGCGGATATTTATAACCCACTACTGTATTTTCTTTATTGCCCTTTATTATTTTACGATATATCCATAAACCGGCGTATGATCTCTTAAATCTCTATATCAATTTCTTCTTACTTTGCCAGGCTGTATAAATTCTTGTTTGTTATCGCTCTTACGGCTTAACCAAACAATAATTATTCTCCACGATTTTTCCTATTTTCACCTCCTTTTCATATTGAAGTAGCTTAATAAAAAGCCTAAGAAATAAATGCTTGTTTATGAGAGGTATTCTGAAAATATCTCTCTTTGTTGTTGGGCCCATATTATTACCCATACCAGACTAAGTTGTCCCTGCCAATTTCTTAATATCATGGTCCCATTTCCTGTTTCGTCTTCTTCAAGGACTCTTAATTCCTCGAGGGTACCATGCTGTAATTAAAAAGAAAATTGATAATTTTAATATTCCTTGTTGCCACCTTTAGCCCTTATGCAAGCTTCTATCCGCGCTGGCATGCTTTTTATTAAATTATCCACGTTGTCTTGGGGTATGTTTTCCTATTATGCTAATGCTGCATCAATAAGCTGTGCGAGACTTCCTGGATTGTTTCCACGAGCTCTAACCCTTCTTTTGAGTTAGTCCCACAAGTGTTCGATAGGGTTTAGATCCATGATACAAAGTTACAAAGAATACAAGGTATGATATTGCGCAGGTTGGTCACTACGTCACAGGTGATAAACGGCACTATTGGTCAGCAAGCTCTGCGCGCCAATTTCAAATTGTCAAACAGATTGTGTCATCTGTGAAATTTGATTGTGTCAAAATGTGAAAATGACTTAGACAAGGAAAGAGAGGGGACAGGTAACACGGCAGCTGAATGTGAGGCAAGTTGTCACCACTCGAAATTCTCCAATGGCGTAGCATCAGAAATTAGCTTGTACCTAGACGGTACAAAATATTTATTAAAACGTAAACTAATATATCGTTCATTTTTGAGTAATGCATATACAATTTTGTATTTTATAGTCTCATCTTTATAATATTAGAATATCTAAGTCGATAATGCAAAATTTATTTAACAGTCACAGTGGACTGATTATCAAGACAATTATTTATTTATTAACTTGTGTATAATGTATAATTAAATAAAAAATAATGTAATAACATATGTTTTAAACGTGTATATACATATATACTGTATGATCGAAAAAAAACGGCGTCTTGTATGTTTGGAAATGACAATTTCACAAATGAATATTAAAAATGATATTATTCACTGAATCAAAGATTGAATCCGTAAGCAAGTGTGAAGGGAATTGTCTAGATTTATTATTATACCGTATAATCGAAAAAAAAAACGACGTCCAGTTGGCTTGTAAATTACGATCGATGATATTTCCCATATAATTCTACATATAAAATTACATAAAAACTATACAAAACGACATCGAAAAAAGACGGCGTCAGCGATGGCTATGAGATGATGAAGATCGCTGTCATTTTATATGTAAAATTATATGGGGAATGTCGTCGATCGACATTTACAAGCCAACTGGACGTCGTTTTTTCGACTATATGGTATAATAATGAATCTAGCCATTCCCCTTCACACTTGCGTACGGATTCAGTGAATAATGTAATTTTTAATATTTGTTACCTTCAATCATAAGAATATCCTAATTTTCCACAAAAAAATAAACAATTTTAGAAGCTTTGTGTTATTTTATTTATTTTTAAATTTTTATTAATTATTCACTGAAACTATTATTATACACCTAAATTAGCAAATTTTTTGAAAGAATATTTAAAAAAATATATGTAGTAACAAGTAGCCCACCACAAGTTTGTTCACCCCCAGCAAATCTTGCCAGGTAAATTTAAGTTGTATATAACAACTATACATATAACTTTTTTATCACTAGAATTTTTAATTTTTTTTTATAGTTTACAATTATTTTACATATTTGATAACAATACTTTATACATTTTTTTACATGTAAAATATATAAAAAAAATGTTTATTACAGAAATTGTATTTCTCTGATTATAATTCTCTACGCCACTGGAGAAATCCATGCTGAGTAGCATTATTTATAGTTTCAAACATTAATTATAATACAGGATATTGAAAATACTACTTGGAATTATTAAAAATAGTTTGGTTTGGATGTGGTACAAAACATATTAAAAGCATTTTACATATTTTTACTGCTATAATGAAAAAATGTACATTTTATGACCACATAACAAAAGTTGTGTATCGATTTTTACCTGTGAAATGTAATTCCAGCCACTTTTTGCTCGCTTCGGCCTTTGCAGCCATACGCTGAACATCTCACCATACTAAACAAAACAGTTTATAAATTTAAAACAAAACAGTTGTCACAAAAAAACATAAAAATTCGCTCGGTGTCACCTCGAAATCTTGTCACCAAAGTATGGCCGCCGATCGAATTTTGGCCTCACAAAACGATCACGGGAGAATATACGTGTTAGCCGTCCCCCCTCTTTCCTTGTCTAAGGAAAATTATTTTTCAAATGTCAAGCTCGATGTCAAAACATAACTTTTGGGGTTATGTCCTAATTCTTTCCTATTTTAGGTCTTTTTTTATTAGTGGCAATTGAACAATATGGATATTTTTTTGTATGGCGTATGACGTCACAGGGGGTATGCGCAAACTTAACGAAATTGGAGCCGCTATCGATCATACCTTGTTTTCTTTATACCATGGTTTAGATCCGGTAAATAGGCAGGCCAGTCCAAAACTATGACACCTTCCGTTTCAAGATATTCTCTAGTCACTCTGCTGGTATGTGGAGGTGCACTATGAGCTCTCCAAAGACTAATGATTGGTTCTAGCACCAAATCAATATATCTCCGACCCCTTAAAATTACTTGAAGTGGTAACAATGGAGTTTTTGCTCCTAGTCCTTACTTCCTTCTTTATATCTTGATACAGATTTGGCAGCCTGAAGTCCCGGCCGTCTTCCTGGAGCTCTAAGAACCCGAATTCAATGGTTATCTGATCTTAGGACAATTCTGGTCTCATCCGGAAAAAGAACATTTTGCCAATTCTCAGTTGTCCAGTTTTCATGTTGAAGGCATCAATTTAGCCGGTCAATTTTATTTTGCCGAGATAACTGTGGGGTCCATTTCTCTCTCCTACTGTAAAACTCTCATGCACGAAGCCTTTTCCTTATGGTTTCAACTAAAATATAGTAGAGCACACAAGGCGGTCTTGTTGTTCAGGTGTGACTCTTTGACGACTTTGTATAGGCCTATCCTTGTGCGTTCTTAATTCCAAGTATCATGCATATGTTTTCGATACAACACCCTGGGTAACGCCTACTATTTCTGCTACGTCTCTCTGGAGCATTCCTTGTTCGGTGAAAGCAATAATTCTTCCCCTCTCTACATCTGTTAATACAACATAAGACATTTTTTAATTTTTTGGATTGAATAAGAATTACTTGATAATCGTGATTTTACTTCTGAATATTCTATTCTCCATCTATTTGTAATCCTTTAGCATCAGTCCTATTCACTAAACTTCAATGTCAACTATGTCAATCATTAAATCAAGACTAAACAATCTAAACTATCGCAATTTCGGATCTATCGGGTACTACCGAGACAACCGGTTAGAGTGAAATATTAAAAATTTATCGAAAACCCCGATCGGTACTACCAACAAAAAAACCGTTCTGATCTTAAGTCGGGCTAATTCAGCGGCGTGAAAAAACTCGTATAATCGCGTGTTTTTAATTCAATTAAATTAATTGGTCCGCTTTGACGTACCGGCCGGATAATGAGTACCGTCCGATCGAGTGGTACCGCATATAAATCGTCGCAGACGAGCCGATCCGGTTGGAAATCACCATTTCCAAGCAAAAAACCATTAAATAAATCGCCGACATTAATAAGAGGATAGTACCGAAACCGAACGTGGAGGAGATCACGGTAGTACCATCATGGTACCTCCCAGTTTTGTGAGGAAATAAAATGATTTTGAAATTGTGTCTTTTTAGGCATCTTTTTTTGGAATCTAATTCATTTACATACAGTTTTATAGCATCTTCGTATTTCCTATTATACAGGGTGTCAAAAAAATCGTGTATCTAACTCCGGTATGTGATTCTACAGATAAAAATGAAACAAAAAGTTCCTATGAACATATTAGTTCAGTCATTGGGGATCAAGAAGGGGCCTCTTGATCCCCTCTTGAAGAAAGCATCAACATAACGAAAAAACTTTAATTTCTAACAATTTAAAATGGCCTCATGTTGACTAAAGCTTGTTGCTGAGCGCTAAAAAACCCTCGCTGTTGACGCGCTCTATAAACCAATACCTCTCTCTCTATCTCTCTCTCTCTCTCGGGATTTAAATGGAAGTAGTTTGGATATGACATTTGTCGCCTCAGCCTGACTATTTGTTGGTAATTTACTTATTTCGTTTTGAGCCATTTCTGGCTCCAATTCAATCAGCAATCGACACGAAAGAGAATTAAAAAATATTGACTCAAAACTGACAACTAAAAGACAGCTTTATTTATTTGTCAAATTACCTACATAGAAACCAACGCCAACCCGGTACAATATTTTTTCTACTCGTAATAAATTCCTTGAAATAATAATTTCTGAATAATTTACTATACAGCAGCGTAGCAAATTTTAATTTCTCTGTTAATTTAATTTAATATACAGTTGAAAATAAGAAGCCATATTTTTTAACTAAAATTTTACTGAGATAAAAAAGAGTCTTCATTAAAGTAATGAACAACTAAAATAATATTATCATAAAGTAAATAATATATTTTTTTAGTATTACCTACCAAAATTAGTAGCAGTTGCATTGCAATTAAATTTAATAAACAAAAATTCCGATTTTTAGTGTTGTTTCAGTGTGAAGAAATGTAGTGTTCGACGAAGTGACTTTTAGTGTTGACGTGTCGCCTACCGCCGCACCTCGGCCTGTGTTTGTTTTTTCCATTATTTCCATCATTTTCTTTCTAGGTGTAAAAGTTGTTAAGCGTAAAGAGGGAATTCTTTAGAGAAACATCATCATGGATGTGCTACAAAAAAATGTAAATATGACAATTTTAATACACTATTTATTATATTTTATTTCTTTTCATAGTAGATGTTGGTTATTGTGGGTGGTTCTTTGTGTTATTTTCTTTTAATTTTCAAAAAAATATGTTTTTGTAGATTTAATAAGAATATTGTTTTTAAATTAAGTATTAACCTATAAGTGCATGTTGAACAAGATTTAAAATTTCTAGTAGTAGAGATATTCACTAAAACTATGATAATAAATATAAATTCTATGATTGGGTATGATAACACCGTATGAACGAAAAAAAAACGGTGTCAAAGACGGTTGGAGAATGACAATAGATGATAATTTGGGCGATGTCAATCTCAGAGACGTCATTAACTAAAAATTGACATAAAACTCGCCAAAAAATGGAAAGATGTTTTCTGCTACAGAAATCTGTTTCCAAGTAGCATTTGGACGTTATCTAACGTCGGGTATACGTCGCGTTCAATAAACCCGACGTCGGGTACCAACGTCGGTTCGACCGCCTGACGACCCTTATTTGCACCTAAATGGGGAATACAGATTCGGGTCGCCTCGACGTCAGTATCTGACCTAATAGGGAATGTAATTCTACCAATTACCAACGTCATATTACGTTGAATTCGTCGCTAAGCACTTACGTTACGTTTGGTTTCATATTCGCTACCAAGAATACATAAAAACCTAACCAAACTACCTAATTACAAATGGATTCATAATCACTCCTCGAATAGAACTATAAGTGCCTACCTAATTTCATATTATAATAATTCTGAATCATTAATCCAGACATCAGTTTTGTCAACGGAAGTCACTTTTTGATATATATCTGATTAAAATACTCCGGAAAACAACGAGCGCCTTCAAAAGTAGGTAGATTTATGAAATAAAAATATCTATAAAAAAGTAACTTACAAAATATTTTTTATTTTCTAGCTGGTTTAATCATAAAATTGTACTGTGGTTCCCCCCAAACTCAACCTTCTCAATATTATTCTACTAGAAATCGGAATGTGAATATAAATTTTAAAAACAAAAAATGATTTTAAAATGGCTGACAATCGGATACCTGTTAAGAATGGCGGATTTCTGTGTCCGACTTAATATGAACTACCAATATACCAATTCCGACCGGGTCTCCAACATTAGTCGTCTCACTCGACCGAAGTCATCAAACCGGACGACCGGCAATCGTATTATGACGTATATAATTCCAACGTACGCCACGTAACCTCACTTTGCGTATCAGTGATTTGTGGATGTGTGCAACTATATTTTAGTTATTGTTTTCTCTTTAAAACAATGGGCAGCTACTTTTTTAAGATAGTATATACAAAATTTAAAAGAATTGGAACCAGTACCTCACATGTGGGAGGAGGATGGGGTCTGCTGGTTTCCTAAGCTAAAAAATGAAATTAAGTTGCACCAGTGTAATGCAGTATCTCTTCCGGATAAAAAGCATTCGTGGGTGGAGGGAAGACATCACTACTACTATTATTATTTTGCAAAAGCCTCGACCTCTTTCTGTAAAATGTAGATGAATGTCTAAATGTCTTTTTAGTGTTTTTTTAGGCATAATAAAAAAAATTAAGTTTGTTTACAAAAACTTTTTATTAGGTTATGTTCATGATGTTTATTAGGCCGCAAATGCTACTTAATGGGTTGTATTTACGGACGTAAATAGAGATACGTAAATTAGGTTAAATATATGAACATAAAATACAACAAAATATAATTGGACGTTACTTTAGGGATTATCAGTGAGACGTATCCTATTCGGACAACGGGTAGACGTCGGGCTAGTTCAAGTATAGGTACGTCGTGCAAGCCAACGTTGGAACGACGTTGGGAAATTAATAAAAATGGTACGTTGTTATTTTGTACGTCGACAGATCGTTGGATTTACCGACTCGGATCCAACGACGTCGCTTTTAATAGGAAAGCGACGTCACCGGTCGTATCACCAGCACCCGACCTAAATTTGCACAAAGTCTGACGTCGCTTCAGGTCAGATTTAGTTCGAAGTCAGATAGATGCTACTTGGGGTTATAAAATATTTTTCAGAAATTTGGGAATTATTTTTACTCAATATAAAAATAATAACGTATATAGCTTGACCTCGCTCAAAATTCTTATCGATTGTCATTCCTCAATCGTCTTTGACGCCGTTTTTTTTCGATCGTATGGTAAATTTTATGATTATGTATGCAGAAAATTTAAATACAAAACTATATAATCTTACTAAGTGTGGTTCAATGATATAGGGTGTGCAAAACCTTAAAAAAAAGTGCAAGATACTTTTAATGTTCAAACTCTCTGGTATTATGGTTTTTGTTACGGACTCAGTACGAGAATACAAATGAACAAACGTGATTAACCAATTAAATCAAATCAAAGTAATTGTTTATTTAAAATACGGAGCCAGAGGATTTATTTCCATCATTTTTTTTCCGCAAAATTGGTAATAAAGTGCAATTATCTAATTATCAGCGCTAGGTTTTTATGAGCCTTCACTATTTTATCGCTTTTAATAATACAACGCGAGGAATTATGGCCAGTCGACGTGCAGACTTCATTCTTTCTAACTCCTATCCTGCATGAAACGACCATTATCCCACCAGCTATTATCGATAAATAGGCTGCATATGTATTTAAGTCGATTCGTTCGATTAAATATTAAAATTTTTTTATACCTTTGTTTTTTTTTATTTTTTTATTTTTGTTATTTTTTTTATTTTTTTTTCTCTTTGTTCTTTCTTTTTTTATATTTTTTCTATTAATGATCTTCTCTACTTAACGGTGTAATTTTCAGCGTTCTAATTTTAGAACTTCCACAAGACACGGGCTCATTAAGATCCGCGACGGATAAATATATTTTTGCGACGTTTTTCTCCAATTGAGACCAAGTTCGTTGACTGGGAATGTACCGCAATTAAAACTGTCTAGATTACTGTTTCTTTTGACAAATTATCTTTTAATAATTCGCGACTTGACCGATGGCGATTTAATTGAATCATTTGACCATAAATTACTTTAGAGACGTTAAGAGTATGGTCTGGTGAGATGAGTCGAATAACCCTTTGGTCATATCCAAAAATTGGTGACTGTGATTTCCAAATCGGCTTTTTTTCTAAAATAAACAATTTTAATCGTACACTCTCACTCGAAATGAATATGACTTTGACCCAAAAGATTGGCGCTTTTCAATAGGGCCAAGAACGACGATTCTTTGCCCAAAGAATTAACTATCTTTTAATAAGCTTTAAAAAATTACTTTAGAGAATAGAAGAATCTATCTGTCCAAAGTATTTCACTTTTGACCCAAAATTAATATGCAAAGAAGTTCTTGCTACAAGAACAATAGTCTCTTAGATTCATGCAAAAATTCTTGATTGAAAAGGGACATTTCTTGATTAAAGAGAGACTTTCCTTAAACCAATAGCGAATACCATTGACTCAACTAAAATTTATTTTGATTTGGTTGCGAAGTCTATACACCATATACAGGCATATTACGAGGTATATTATTTTCTGATAAATTTAGGTTTTCCTAGTCTGTAGTAAGTAAAGTGATATTATTTTCCTCGATAGTAGGTAGTTATTTCTGCTTCTTGACTCCTTGGTATTTTTTGGGGTGGTTCATCACTCTACAAATTACAAAAAAAGTGTTACATGACGAGTAATCAAAGTAAAGCAAACAAATTATTAAAATTATAAGCTTTGGTCACATTTTGTTTTTTTTTAATACGACGACTTGAAATTCTAAAATTTTTGTAATTATTTGCATACAAAAATCGATACCTATATATTCTTATTCTATCTATAGTCACGCATGCATTATCTATACAGGTGAATTAGGTAAATGTTTCTTACCTTCAGATATAGCAAATAAATGCTCTAATTTCCATTTTTTCAGAAACTCCTTAAATAATCCATATATCCTAAAATTTGTCCATAAAAAATGACAAATGCATGTTTTAGAATTTTAGAATTTAGAATGAGTGGGAGGGGGGTTAATCACTTTGACCTTACAGATCCATTGTGTCCCCCTTTCTTGAATCATAACTCATCATACAGTCCCAGGGCTTTGACAAAAGCCAGTATCTGGGACGGTTTTATAGAGGGTAGTTCTCCATCTCCAATATCAGTCGTACCAAAATTCATGGCACGAATGGTTGTCGTCTCGGCGCACTCAGTGATGAGGTGTACTGGTGTTTCACCATCTTCCCCACAGAATCTGCATTCGCCGTTTCTTCTTAGTTTCAATCTACTGAGGTGTTCATTGAGGAGACAGTGCCCTGTTAAAAACCCCGTGACAATCCGAAGATTGTTCTTACTCAGACCCAGGAAGATCTGTGATTTTTCTTGATCATAAGCCCTCAGAAACTTCTTCGAGTGTCTTAGACCATTGCAAGATTTCCATTCCAGGTTGCGGATGGAATCTTCCAAGTTCTTTAGTTCCGCCTTGAGTTGGTTACCACTTGGAAAGCAGAACGGTTCTGGTCCACTTAGTGGAGTGTTCGCTCCTTTCCTAGCTAGATTATTTGCTTTTTCATTGCCTTCTATCCCTTGGTGAGCAGGCACCCAGTGTGGAGGACTTTGTTTTCTTTGCCTAATTTATTCAGCTTCTCTATGCATTCTTTGAGCAATTTCGAATTGATTGAGACTGAGTTGATCGCTTTTAACGCTGCTTGACTATCAGATAAGATGGCTATTTCTTGTTTCCGATAGTTCCTATCTAAGATAAGTTGTACGCATCTTTTGATAGCGTAGATTTCTGCCTGTAGGATACTAGGGTAAGTGCCCATTGGTTCGGAATATTTAGTTCTCGACCCAAATACTCCGATCCCTGTTCCCGTATTGGTTTTGGAAGCATCAGTATATCAAGTTATGGTATGGTCGGTATGGTCTTTTAACTGCTGGGCAAGCGTTTCGCTCTTCCAATCCTTCTTATTGCTCAATACTACATTGACATGTTTGTCAAAGTTGTACGTTCTTGGCATATCGTCCACTGGGAGTTGCAGGAGTAGTATTTCCTTTTTGAGGGTGTTCCAAGCCCCTGATCTGACAATTCTCCCAGTACTAATTCCGTTAGTGACCATTCTAATCATTGTCGCATTGGCATATCTACCAATGACAATGTGCAGTGGTGTTAGATCTAGAATGACTTCCATTGCTGCTGTTGGACAGGTTCTCATGGCTCCTATGATGCAAACGCATGTAGTCTCTGGACTTTGCATAGGTTTAGCCTTGCCGTCCGTTGCTCTAGTTTTGTGTACCAGGCAACTGCTCCATAAGTAATCATGGGTCTTACTATCATGGTATACATCCAGCGCAAAATGTTAGGGGAGCAGCCCCATCTATTTCCGGCCAGTCTTCTGCATATCGTGAGAGCCTTTATGGCTTTGCTGGTAGTGTTCTTAATATGCCTGTTCCACAGGAGTTTACTGTCCAGGAAACAGGCATATTAAGAACACTACCAGCAAAGCCATAAAGGCTCTCATGATATGCAGAAGACTGGCCGGAAATAAATGCATGTTAATAACGATCACTAATTTGTTATACGATATGCGTTTAAAAAGCAAATTATACAAAATTCCAAGTGGAAAATTCCAAGCAACAAAACCCGTGCGAATACTATGATGTGCGACCTATGAATCCATCGTCATCGTCTTTGCGTGTCGTTATTATTTTTCATCAAAAGAGTATTTAGCTATTGGAAAAATAGCCATGTTTCTTGAATGAAGTACTTCCTAGCGTATTTTTGTTATTATCTAAAAACAATGGTGCACTTGGTTGAATGAAAATAGATTCAAGAGGAATTTTCGAATTTTTCAAGAGAACAAGTTTTCTTGAGTTAAGAGAGTTTTTCTTCAGGCAAAATATTTTCTTTCACGCTAAAATAAATTCTCTTGCCACTAAATTTTTTTTCAAGAACGATGACGACTTTAGTTCAAGTCTATCTTTTTTATCAGTGTAGCATAATCATTTATTTCTCATCCAAAAGCATGAAGAACAGTTCAAAACGCAAAATTCTGTGCTCTGACAACACAAATACCTGTATTTTTCGCTCGGGACGTCATCCTACCTGATGTTTTGTCGTAGGCCATGTACCGGGGCGCTCGAAAGAATGCTTTACGACGTCATAAATATAAATCTTCCTTAAAACTTTCTACGTTTACGACCAGGGCTATATTACGGTCTCATTGTCGTTGTACGGTTATACGTCTCCCGACCTTAACGTTCGGCTTGAATTTTGACAGATTTCGATGGCTTTTTTCTGTTATTTTGAGAGAAAATCTGTAGATAAAGAGGCACGTCGAATGGATTGGCCACCCTGTTAATTACTGAGTGACATTTATGACAGTATATTTTCTCAATTAATTAAAAAAATGTTTGAAATTTTTGCTGTACAAATATATTTGTTTTATATCAATAATATTACTTTACTTTTGATTATTACACAAATTAATTCTAATTAAATAAAGTTATTAGAAATAAGGTCCTAAAAAAAAGTTAAAAAATCAAGGTCCTAATTTGTTGGACTTTCATTGATCTTCACTTTTTATGAGATTCTACTGACAATCTGAAAACTGACATTGACCACAGCTGAAACACGCTGAAATATCTAAATAAATCTAATAATAATATCTAAATAAAAATAAATAATAGGAAATAATACACATACTACAGAGAAAAAGTAAAATAAATATAACAATAATTATTTAAAATCTGAAATATGAATGATTTTTATCGGCAAAATCTCATCTTGAAAGTGATATATTTATTTTAATAACAGTTGAACAATAACAATATATATTATTATTATTTATATATAATTTTTAAAAAGCCTCTTGCTAGAAATGGATATTAAATTTTTTTCAATAAATAGAATAACGTATCGTATTGGTGTGCAATTACTCGTGAAAATGATGAAAAACATTTTCCGAGCTGATAGAAAATCTGTTCGAAATTCTAAATTAAATATTTATGGATGAAATTGTTCGATGGCTGATAGGAATATAATAGTACTCCAATATTCACACATTTTATAATAAAAAATAATTTACTAAATTTATTAACACGAAAAAGAAATTCAACTACTGAAAAAAACATTGTTTAGATACCAGATTTCTACGAAGATAAAAATGCTTAAAGCTAGCTTTATTTCGTTCATTAAGAGACCTTTTTTATGTAAAAAACGCCGTAAATGTATATTTTTTAACTCACTAGTTTTATACAGGCACGGACAAAAAGTTATTACTCTCCCAACAAGTTAAAAAATATGTAGGTGGCGCCCTCTACATGTAGAAGTCATATTGACATCAAAATCAAATTTCTCATGTTAAAAAACCTCCAGATACCAATTTTCATCCAAATATTGACGTTACTTCAGAAATTATTTGAAAAAAATTGAAATAAAAATGAAACTTGTATCTCCGAAACTAAGCATTTTAGGACATACATTTATACCAACTTTTTCATTTATTTTTATCTACAAAATACACTGCCGAAATTTCCGAAATACAGTTTGCACCACCCTGTATAATTTTATACAAGAATTTCACTTAATTGCTTTGATAGTTCGCTTCGAAAAAAACACACACTAACGATACCTATTTATTTAATTTCTTATTTTCTGGAATTTAGCCGATGTAGTCCCCCCTTGCCCCATGTCCCCCTAAAATGCGGCGCACAACGACAGTCTAGAACGGGCCTAACGAGAATTTTATGCAAATTAGGGAGCGTATAAAATAATTTACGCGCCTTAAAAATGGCTTTCGCGACCCGTCGTATTCTCATTTGAATACGCCACTGCGTTGTGCGGTGTCTAATGTCAGTGGTAATTAAGATTTGAAGATAATAACGGGTAACATTGCCGAAATATTTTGACGGAAACTAAAGCCACGTCTAAACGTAACGGTTTACCTGCCAGTGTTAACTGTTCAGTCAAAACGTGGTGTTGATGATTTTTGTGTTCTGGTGTTTCCCCATTTTCCCAAGAGAATCTGCATTCGCTTTGTTTTTGCTTTCTTCTTCTAGTGCAGATCCATTAATGGATGTTTGCGAAAAAAACATTTTCCATTCTCTGTTCCGGGCGGTGTGTAATATTCCTCAGCCAAGACATTTTCTTCCTTCCGATACCCCTCCGGCCTTCGATCTTGCCTTCTATCAACAAATGCACGAATTGATATTTGGGGTTTCGCATTATGTGCCCCAGGTATGCGGTCTTTTTCTTTTTAATCAATTCAAATAATTCACGCTCTTTGTCAACGCGTCTGAGAACTTCCTCATTTGTCAATCTAGCCGTCCAAGGTATCTTCAGGATTCTGCGATATAGCCACATCTCAAAAGCCTCCAATTTGTTGATGGTAGCTGCTTTCAATGTCCAACCTTCCATACCATAAAGGAGCACCGACCACACATAACGCTTTACGAATCTTAATCTAAGGCTAAGGTCAATATCAGAACAGACAAGTACTTTTCGAAACCTCAAGAATGCCTGCCGAGCTTGGTCGATGCGACATTTAATTTCCTTGTCTGATGTCCAATCTTCGGAGAGCCAGATGCCCAACTACTTAAATTTATCTACTCTTTCTATGGGCCTTGAGTTAAATGTTAGGATGTAGTTTATAAACACAGCTGGGTTTCTGGATATAATCATAAATTTGGTTTTCCTGATGTTGATGTTTAAACCCATGGTTTTGCTCTGTTCTCCTACCTTGTTGACCAGTTCTTGTAGGTCGTGTATATTGTCTGCAATTAAGACCGTATCGTTTTTGCTTTGTTGTATCAAAAATGTCAAGAAAAATATAAAATTTTCAAATTTTTTTTGCAAAATACCTTATTGATGTTGAATCGAACTCTAGTACCACTTAAAATGCTTGCACTTATTTCAGAGACACCCTATATATCTCTGCCACACTCTTAAAAAAGGATAAAAGTTACATAAAGAAAAATGATACAGTTATAATGTTAAAACAGAAGTACAATTATATATGACATATAGTTCATTATATACAATATTATATCAGAGAATTTTATTTTAATAGCAAGCTCTGGGAGTAAAATTATATGTTTCTACTCAGTGCCAAAAATTTAGACATCACAAAGTGTCATTATCAGCAGATTGAAATTTTATGTAAACGATAAATTTCACTAGAGCCAGTAAACAAACTTTATATTAAAATTAATACGAACATTGAAATAAAATTTTGCTTGTTTCTAGGCCAATTGGAAAATAAATTCTAACAATTTTATTAGAATTTTTATTATGAATTTCCAGAAAAAAGAAACAATCTATTGATAAAAAGATTAGATTATGCGCGTCACCGTTCGAGATTAAAGATGGTTTTGTATTTTTTTCTCTATTTATATAAATTTTATTTAAGCTACTGTATCAATATTTTCTTTTCAAATAATTTCTAAAAAAAAATATTATTAAATATAGTATTTTTCTAAAAAATTGAACTATTTTGAGCAAACAAATCTTAGATACATTGTTCTAGAACCACGCTTGTTTGTTTTCTGTTGAAACCAAGACCACCAAGAGATTTTTAGCCTTACAAAAAATATTTTTGGCCCAACTCAAAAACTACAATTGATTTTAACAAACCAACCATAGCCACCTATTAGTAGCACTCTCATAAGTTATTTATCATCGAGACCAAAACCACCAAAGCCTTACAAAAAATATATTTTTTAAAATCTCAAAAACTACAATTGATTTTAACAAACCTACCGTAGAAACATATTCCTAGCACCCTCATTGTTTGTTTTTCATCGAGACCAAGACCTCCATTACAGTTTTTCTCACCTAAATCTCCATTTTTCCAGTACGACGATGGCATCCACTCGGGTTACATGGACACCGGCGCTACGGGCGGCATGTACGAGCCCCACGTGGCACACAGGCCCAGCATTCCCGGACTACACCACTCGCCCCACTTGAACCATGCCATGCACCCGTACCATGCGAACCATGTGAACCCGGCGGCCAATCACGTGATGGGCGGCGCCGTACCCGACGTCGGCAAGAGAGATAAGGACGCCATCTATGGGTGAGTAGAGGAAAATATGATGTTTTTCTTGATAAACGTATCTAGAAACGACCGACAGAGGTTTTTCTCTATCTCAATCATTGAATTTGATTATTTTGTGAATTGAGATGATTGAGAAAATAATTCCACTGTCTAATCGGTCTATCATCACCATGTCGAAGCCATAATAATTGAATATTGTATCTCCAAAAAATCATATATGGGTAAAAAAATATTCCAATAATATAAAGTTCTTATTAAGTTAAGAGTCTCTCTGATACTAGAAGTCATTCTGTCATTATTACAAATCAAAAACGTGTCAAACATAAAATTTAAAGTATAATATCTTTTTAAACAACTTGTATGACATATATTCTCGAACCACTTCAGAGAAAAACATATTTATACTAACAGGGACAATGCCAGACGCTAATCGCAGGCAATCGAAAGAGTTCATTGAGTCTTGGAATAAATTTCTGTACTACGGAGTAACAGATAAATATAAGATCTGCAAAAGTCAATATTTATCGACTTGGGTATTGATAAACACGATAATTTTACCTTGTATTATTGATATCTTCAACTTGAGATTAAATATTATCAGCTTTAAAGACGGGAATGATGTTGGTTCTTACCGTTTTGGCTACTGTAACTTGTTTTACAGTAGTTTTAATAGTTCTAATTTAAGTACTATCAAGTGAACTTGATTAGTTTGAAGAGATGACGTTTATACTTATATATTTGTCGTAAGCATATTTTTAAACACTCTGACAAAATATGTTTCTGTTAATCAAATTTTACAAAGATTGTTTTTAGAAATCTATCAAAGGGTGTCAACAATCCATTTAGCCAAGACTTACGTACGCGAGTTAAATAAAAGCTTTTAAAAACAAACTTAAAGGTGTAACAATATCTTCTTTTTACAAGTCTATCTTTCACCGGCCGGAAAAAAATGAGGTAAATTTTTAAAAGTCATATTAAAGGTAATTCTACACGACAACGTGACACGCCCATACACGTAACATTACACAGGCCAAGCGACACGAGATCGAAACAATAGATTTGCCATGTAATCGTGGGAAAAATCTCACGAATTCGTCATCTTTTGGTCCCGGCACTTGTCGAATATATGCAAATTCTTCTAAGTCGCTTAGATCATTCAGGTATTTGTGGTTTTTCTATTGGGTCATAATATATGCTTTCGTGGATAAGACTAGGTCATTCCAACTCTGTTTTCAACATATTTATAATGACATTTTTGTTCGACTCCTTCTGTTACATGTGTTAGGTTGTTTATTTTTCATTGATGTTTGTCTCTCTTGGAGAAAGAATTTCAAAACTTCGACATCTAGTGATCACAAGTACAGTTTATAATACCATGCAGATTAAAAAACGCTTTTTCCGACACAAAGTTGATTAAAATCCGCTCATTCAAAACAGAGATATAGACATTTGAATGAAAAAAATTATTAACCTTCCCCAATACTTTGATATTTTCGAAAAATAGACAAAAATGGTCTAGAGAAATAAAGTTGGTTATTGTATGAAGATTACAGTGTTTTTTTATATTTTTATCATAGTTTAGTTAGGAAAATTTGATGGAGAATTGGAGATTTAGATCTTGTAGTGACTACGTGAAGCAGAAATTAATTTGAAATGTTCTCTAACTCTTCAATTCAACCAGGTAATGTAGAGAATACGATTTCTAACTAGACAAGGAGCGAACACTCCATTAACTGAACCAGAACCGTTCTGCTTCCCAAGCGGAAACCAACCTAAAGCAGAACTCAAAATCCTGGAAGACGTATCTATCCGTATCCTGGAATGGGTATCCAGCAGTCCAAGACACCCGAAGAAATTTTTCAGGACTTACGACCGGGAAACATCAAAGATTTTCCTTGATTTAAATAAGAAAAATCTTCGGATTGTCTTGGGTTTTTTTAACAGGACCTCCTCAATGAACACCTCGCTAGGTTGAAACTAAGAAACAACTGTTCTGAATTCAGATTCTTTAGGGAAAATGGGGAAACACCAGAACACCTCATGTCTGAGTACGTCGAGACGACAATATGCCATAAACTTTGGTACGACTGATATCCGAGATGGAGAACTAACCTCTGTAAAACCGTCTCAAATACTGGCTTTTGCCAAACCCTTGAGACTGTATAATGAGTTATAACTCAAGGAAGGAGGGACACAATAGATACAATCTACAATCAACAAAGATAATATATTTTATTATAAAAATCTTTTGGCGTAGAGGTATCTACGAGGTATAAATGATCTAGGGTTTTATTCTAACGAAATCAAGTGCCTGTGTGTGTTTAAGCCGGTCCTGTACCGAATTCTTTGATGTGATTCTTGTGTCGGTCGAGACGATATGCAACTGAGGCTTAATGGACCTAATCGTGGGAAAGTTTTTAAAGGTTTGTGAGGTTCCTTGTTTGTTTGTTTCGTTCCTTGTTTGTTTGTTTCGTTAAAAGAGTGTGGTAAATGGTTTGTTTCTAATGCTTTGATTTGCGAAAGATTCAAATAGCTGTGCTAAAAGGTGTGCTGTGCTAAAAGTCAGTAATATACAGTATTACATATATGGTTGTACAACAGACAATAATGGGTCTAATGAAGGTTATGATGATATACTCTGATGACTACGTACGTCATCATAGGTTGAATAAGCTGGAGATATAATGAAGATGATGATCATATCCTAAGTCTTAAGATTATAATATGTCTCCAAACTATGTCAGGTCTAGGTCATAGACAATCTAACAAAAGCAAGACGCGTCAACGCTGTACTGCAAAACGGTAACAAGTTTGATAAGAGTTTATTACCGCGCTTGCGTCAACTGGCCTTTTAGACGAGGACTGTTTACTTATGGATTGTGTATTTTGTAGTAGCCTTTTAGACAAGGATGTTTAATTAAAAAGCGTTTATTAAAATCAAATAAATTTATTTCCATCGGTAAAATAAACAATAATTTCTGGACATAACAGATATAAAAACAAAAGTTAAATAAACGAAAACGTATTCCTCTTATTAAAATAACAAAAAGATGAAAAAAAAACAACAGTTATGGTAAACGAAATAAAAGCATTATTCTTCAAAAGGTACAAAAAATAATTATGTATATTATAATATTAATAATAGGAACAACAAGAAACATCTTAAAAATATACAACTTTTCAAATATAAAACAAAACATAAACTTCACATTTTCACAAGAATTTGCAAAAATATTAACATTTCGAGTCTATTATAAAATATAAAGCACGAAAATTCAAATCATAAAAAGATTAAAAAGATAAAGATTCTTATAACTTACAGTGAATTTGTAGGACCTTCGTTTTGTCTACGTTAGCGATGTAATCACAATAATATGTATAATCACAGTAATTATTATGTTCTTCATAAATGTAAAATGTATTAAATTATTTGTTTTCGTTTTGTACGCTAATAAAATAATAGTAATAACCAAACAAAACGCAAAATCAGGAATTCAACAGTTCGTTCAACGATGGTTCAAGGCAAAAACGTTTTTCGTTTTATTTAGGTTAGGTTTGACGAGTGCGACTGCGCGATGATTTCTGACTCAACTGGCCAGCGCAAAAACAATAATTCGACTTCCTCAATCCTTTGTCAATCAAAGTCTTGCTTTTGTTAGTTTGTCTATGGTCTAGGTAGAACGATTTTAATTATACCAATGAACCATTCTCTTCAAAAATTAAACTAAAATAAAATAAAAGACCGAACTTCTACTACAATATTAATATTTCTACTGTCCTCTAAAAATGTCCATCATTCTAGACATCCTAAATTAAGATAGATTTTATTCGCACCAAATCCGTTTAAAATTTAAATCCGTCTCGCTGTGAACCAAAAACGAGAGAAAAAATACATATAAATTCCTATAAATGTTTTATAAAAACCGCTATTCTCCATAAAGTGCCACATAGTAGATCCGCATATTTTATATCGCTTGATAGAAATGATATATAAGCCATATATCGAGAACTTGTATGAATATTCATGAAGCAATTAATCGAGAAAAAAATTGTCTGCTTGCTGGACTCGAACAGAATTCCGAATTTTATTTAGACAATTTGAAAAACGTTGAACGTATTCAAATAGAAATTACAGCACAGGTTAATGTTTTGTTTATTGTATTAAGAGCCGATAAAATTGACGTAGATTATGCTAATGTTAAATTATTAATGTAAATTTTTTCTTGGGTTACGTAAATAAAGAAACTCGTAGATTTTTTTTGTTCTTTTCTTGTATCTTTGTAACTGGTATTTTACTGACCTTTACTGTTTTATATTCAATCAGGCTTAGAAATGTTATTTAGTTACTTAGTTATTTAAAGTATCGTTTAAAGTAAAGTGATTTTCACCCTAATGCATTTTAGTAACGTTATACCGTGCTGGCAACTGTTACTTTTGGGTCGGCATTTACATGTGTGGAAGTAAATCGCATAGGGATCTTATTAAGTCGGAGTGAGAGAAATGCGACGCGCGACGGGTGTGCTGTTGCGGCGTTGCCGGTACGCTTTTCCCTGTTTATAACGAGAAAACGTCAGTAATCGCGATAAATTAAAAACTCAACTTTTTAACACATAATAGGCCATAACTCAAGAACCACTTTAGATATTGAAACTTTTTATTTTTTTTTTCGAGATCGGATATTTTACAATATGTTTACATAAGAAAAATTCGATAAGGTTGTTTTTTCCATTCAAAAATTGTAAACAATCCATCCATTTACTTTTAGAGCATAGCAATTTTCAGCAATCGTGTAATTTTTTTATTGATAAAGATTTTCACATACTGTCTACAAAGAAAATACAGCAGAAATATTAACAAAGCTCTTGAAAAAACTACAATCTATTATTTCTAATAGATTTCGAGATATCGATTTTGGAATTCAGAGTTCTAATAGCGCCGACCATTATCGAACACCCACTCAATTCCACTTATCTTTGCCAAAAATGCAAGTGTTTCTAGCTTGCACTTAAAAAAAATTC